CCAGCTGATGAAAGGTGACCGGTGTATACGACCACCACTTCAGTCGATTCCAGTTACCGCGATAGGTGACTTGTGGTCCGTAGATGTCATGGGTCCATTTCCTCAGACATCCAATGGTAATCAGTACCTCTTGGTGATGACGGAACACGCGACACGATGGGTAGACGCCGTAGCAATCCCAGACCAACGTGCAAGAACCGTGACAGATGCAGTAGTTAGACACATTGTTGCAGACCACGGCGTACCGAAGACAATACTGACAGACCAAGGTCCCTGTTTCGAGAGTGAAGAGTTTACTTCCCGTTTGCAACAGCTGGGCATCAAGAGGATCAGAACGACCCCATACCATCCACAAACGAATGGCCTAACGGAGAGAAACAACCGTACACTGAAGGAGTGGCTGGCCTCGAAGGGCGGGAACTGGGAAACGGAGCTTCCACTGATTTTACTAACACATCGGGCTACCACTCAGGAAACAACGAAGAAGTCACCCTTCCAACTGATGTATGGTAGAAAACCACGATTACCGGTACACAATGAGACCTGGCCCATGCACCAAAAGTGGAGTACGACGAAATTAAAAGCAGAGAGGAAAGAGGCAGTCAAGAATGTAATACGGAAGCAGCGCAGTGATGTCATGAAGTCTCAGATGAAAGAAAGGACGCAGTGCATTACCTTTGCAGTCGGGGACCAAGTGAAGTGTAGAGACAGGAGATATACAGTTGGAGGCGGGCTAGGTTCACGGAAACTCCTTCCAAAGTGGGAAGGACCATACACAATCACAAAAAGACGGGGTCAAGTATATACCATCCGAAGAGGTGATAAACAGAAACGAGTTAACGCCAGTCAGCTCCAAAGATGGGTACAGTGGGACAAGCCGGTCAGTAACAATCCTCAACTAGAGGATGTAGCACCCAGAAGGTCGGAACGTCTGCGCACGAAGCTATTTGACGGGGGGACGAGTGTGGTGAGAGCAGGCTGCTAGCCGATTACTTACTTTACTTTACTTTACTTCGGCTATCTCCTACGGGAGGATGAGCCGGCTTCATGAACGTCTCGAATCATCGCTGCCCAGGCGCGGCAATTTGTAAGAGAGTTCATGAAGTTTCATGGGAATTTGGTACGAGTGATTTCCCCAGAATCGCTCGGCCTTTTGTTTGAGAGTGCAGCTCTAGCCTTTACACAACCAAGTGTGACCTACAAGGCAGTAGGAGTGGAGTAAGGAGTCCACTATACATTGGAAGCCGGTGACCGGAGTTCGGTTCATACGCCTTTTTGAATGGGGCCAGACATCCAGGACATCCAACAAGCCCTTTGTCCATACGTCTGCCGGTGAGCTCCAGTGAGCTTCATACGCCAATCGTTGCAGGTTTGGAATCAGGGTTTAGCCATCTCCCCTAGACTGTCATCCAATGGACAGTCAACCCGGTGGAGAGCGCCAGGCATCCGCTTTCGCCCTCTCACTTTGGTGAGAAACACCTCCGCCACGTGAAGGCAGTGAGTAGGACTTCCTCAGGAGAGGCTATGTAAGACGCCCGGTCATATGGGAGCATTTCAAGAGGTGTGCGGAGGGGTGGCCAACCCGCAGCGCAAGGCACCCACCCCCGACCATCCTGAGGCTTTGGAGGCTAGCCGATTGGTTGGCACTAATCTACGTTGAGGTCTAGGTCACTAATATGGGCCATGAGAAAATATGAACAAGGCTGAGTCAACAACCAATCACAGCAAAGTTAACGTGGCAAAATATGATTCGCAGATAGAGAACTCTATTTGTCAAGGAATCCCGAAACAACCAATCAGAAGCCTGCGTTTGTCTACCTAACTTCTGATAAACAACCAATCAGATGACTGCGCTTGTCTATAATAATGTAGTTGAAATATGTATAAATACGTGTTGATTTTCATAATAAAACGATCTGTTGCTTCGCCCTTGTCTTCTGTTGTTACAACAGCTTTTGACGAATCGATCTCTTCAAAGATCCATCGGTCCTCCTTGATAAGTTCACATCGAGGAAATGAATGCTAGTCAAATTTCAACTAAGAAGCCATCACTCAAAGGCATTCTCCAATGACATAAACCACCTCAATCGATGGTTCTAAAATATTCTCTGCTGATAAATAGTTAAATATGATCGTCAGGACGCCGTATTAATTTCACCCATACAAATGCCAGTAATTAGGAGAGAGAAAAAAGTCTGCTAGAAGCTACAAAGAACAGTAGCTACTCAGTCAGAAGAAAGTATAATAAACACCTAATTGGTAATCATGTGTTTCTATAAAAATATCAGGTTTCTTATGCATTCCAGGCTCCAGACTCAAGCTATAAAATTTCAGTAGCAGTGGCGTTTTTCTTCTTCATTTAACCGGAATGGGACTGCTAGTTTGAGACACAACTTTCCCTCGTTTCCGGATTAACTACCGGCCAAGCGAGATTTAGGAGTTAGTCCAGTGGGTGTGAAACCTTGGAGCTGTGAGAATTATACTTCTGAACCACCGACGCAAGCAACACTCTTCAACAGTGTGCTGGTGGTCATGAGAAGATAACTTGTCGACTGGTGGATTGTCAACAAGAATACGAATCAGAAGACTCAAAGGTAAGCGTTCATCCAAGTGTGACCACCTAGAAGTTGCTTGAAAATCCCCATTGAGTCATATGAAAAACAGAAGACGTTCAGCGAAGAGACTCCTTCCGCTGGCGAATTCATCCACATAGCTGTACAATCGCATTTATATATAATTATTTGTGTGTATATGTATGTACATGAGGTTTGTCAAGTTTAGATAATTGATCAGGTAATACAAGAATGATCTAATATAGAAACAAGGTTAGTCAGACAGCAACTAAAGTAAGATTGAGTTAGTTAGTAAGTTAGATGACGTAATATAATTAACTAAAATGCTTCAACTTAGGTCAGGGTAGCAACAGAGGTAATTACAGGCACAGACTGAGTAGAGTTGGGTTACAGAATAAAGCCATTTAAATTAGAACTGAAATTGAGCAAATAAGTTGGATGACGTAAAATAAATGACTAGAAATTGAGCGTTGGTCAAGTCAGTAACAGTGGTATTGAGGTGTAGAAATTCAATCGGGTGGGGGTAGAGAACAAGAAGGCTGAAAATGTAAAATATTAAAATTGAGAAGACAAAATAATACTAATGAAGAGACAGAAAAAAAAGATTAGGTAGAATTTACTTGTCGGGTAATAAGATAAATTAAGTCCATTGTAAGTGTAGTGATTGAACGAACTTCTTCTATATGCAGAGTTTAAGGCTTAGCAAGTGAATTGCCATTGCTTCTGCAGTTTGAAGAAGTCTGATTCGTACACCTTTAGGAAGACTACTTCTTACTCTGTAGACGACTTTGAATTTTGTTTGGAGTGTAGCTTGGTGTCCGGAATCTATCAGATGTTCTAAGATGAAGCTGCGGGGACATCGTTTTTCTCCTTTGTCTAAAACCATGTTGGTAAGTGTTCGGTGATACGTTTGGAAAGCGAACGCTGGGTGTACAGGCGACATACCTGGCTCCACATGAACAAGTGAATTGATAAATACACATTGATGAGTCCAGCAGTGGTAGCTTATCCTTCACGTTCGCATGAATCATAGGTTTTGCGGAGAAGGTTATTCGTAGTTCAGCTGCGAAGAAGGTCTCCTTAAGTGAGCGCGACAGTCGATTCTTTAGTATTTCCACAGATACATCTCCATTGAATTGAAGGTTCATGTAGAGTAGTTTTTCCAGGACGCTAAGCATGGGCGGCTTTTATGGTTTAGGATGCATAGATTTTGCAATAAATCTTTCTGGATAACAATTCTAGACGAGGATTCTCTTGAGATTGTCCAGTTCATCTTCTATGGGGTCTGGGGTACAAATTCTGCGAACTCTGTAACTAAGTGAACGGATCAAGTTTCGTTTGGTCTATTGGGATACCCCACTGTGAAAGTTAGTAAGCTGTCCGTTCCACGTCGAATTTCTGTAGATAGATCTTTTCAGTATTCTATCCGGTTCTCGTCTTGTTAGTTGAACGTCAGGAAAGGACATTTTGGAGTTGGACCATTTCTCCAGCGTGAACTGAATCGCGGGGTGGCAGTTGTTAAACGACTTCAGGATGTCGTCTAGATTTTCTTCATTTATGACGATAGTGAAAGTGTCGTCGACGTATCTCTTATAGACTTTGAAGTTCATGATTAGGCAATAAAAAAGCTGACCATAATATTTGCCTGCACAGAATTCAGAAGATGAAGCAATTTTCAAAGCATCTGGCTGTGGTGACAGCTGTATACTAGCCAAAATTGTAGACAACAATTTACGTCAATGTTCACGTCCCCAATCTTGGTCATGAGAAATAAAGCAAGAACAAAGCCTAACCCTGAGGAACTCAACAACCAATCACAGCAGACTTAGCGTGGGCGGATACAATTCGCAGATACATTGTGATGAGAGGTGGCTGCTAGCCAACTGGTAGACATTAATTTACGTCAATGGGTATGTCGCAAATATTGGTCGTGAGAAAATATGAACCAGACTGATTCAACAACCAATCACAGCAGACTTTGCGTAGGCAGATACAGTAAACATATAGATGACCTGACATTCAAGAAACAGTCACAAAGAGATGGAAGGTCAACTTTCTGTGAGAAACAACCAATCAGAAGAGGGTGTTTGTTTGCTTGAATAACCTATAATTATGTACATGAAAATATATAAATACGTGTTGATTTTCTTAATAAACGATCTGTTGCCTGGCTTTTGTCTTCTGTTGTTACAATATCACCGGAATGTCTAAAAGACGGCAACAAACAGATAACAGAATAACCTTCAGCAGGAAAACAACCAATCAGAAGACGTTGCTTCTCTGCTGACAATAACACTCCCACCGCCGGTCATAAAATACACTCAACCCATGATGTGGGTGTGCAATTTTTTGAGTACTTTGTGATATGTCGATAAGTGTAACCTAATATCTAACCCAGTCTAAAATACAAAACAAATAGATACTTACTAGAAATTGAATTCCACCTTGTAAAAACAAGGGGTTGTTTAATCGACGACGACGACGACGACAAAACCGTCGATTTTTCGTTGTCAGTTGAATGAATTTCACTTTCAGTCTTATCCAGTACAGATTGATTTTTCCAATCAATTTTAAGATCTGTCAACTTGAAAAAACATATGACCAAAAGCATACAGTAAAAAAGTGAAGTGAAAATTCAATTAGAATTATTAAAACTGAAACAAAAACATTTATTTCCTTGTCGAAGGTTTGCAAACTTTAATTTGCATCGATTTGCATTTAATTGAGTTCATATTTTTAATAATCAATATCATTTCTAGTATGGATTAACTTGCGCACCACCACCACCACCACACAGTGATAAAAATTGTGCATCCCTGCTATAATTAAAGGTATTCAACGTTACGTAATATTTTAAATATTGAAAGTAGAAATACTAAGCAACAAACGTCAAGAACTTAAAAGTCAGTGTGTTTAATATTCCAAACCTCGTATGGGATTCACTGTCCAAGAAGTCTTCAAGGTTTGCTGTAGGGAACAGGAAAGTCATGAATACAGGTTTCGCTACACTGAAATTCTCAAACAACAGACTTAGATTTATGTAGCGCACAAAGCCTATAGAGCGACCAATACTTTTTCAGTTGAAGCCATCGAATAAAAACTCCTTATTGTTCCCAAGCATAGCACACATTATGACCTCAAATGCTTATATTTTGATCTTGAAATCTACTGGTGAATAATTCCATTAATGTGAATTAGTTTGAGGCCATGAAGATACTGATTAAAATCAGTATGAATCAGTCTAGCAAATTACAGTTTTATTTAATTGGTGGATGGTGACTAGCAGTGGAATCTAGAACAACACAAATTTCGTCCTATCCGGGACTCGTCAGCTGGATGTACCTGCATTCCACAATGAGTGCTGATGTTCCCACCGAGTATCAAACCCAGTGCCCGACACCTGACACTTCAGTTCAATCAGTCGACGGGAAAATCTAAAAATTGAATTAAATAATTAATATGACCCATTGCTCAAGTGGTGGCTCTCTTGCTACAAGTGGTCTAGTGGACAACGCTTTGACGTTTTAAACTATGGGCACTGGGTGGGAACATCATCACTCACTGCGCAGAACAGGTACATCCAGCTGACATGTCCCAAACAGGACGAAATGCGAATCTTGGATTCCACTGCTAGCCACCATCATCCACCAATTAACTTCTAAATACATGGTTGATTGGTTACAGGATTTCATCATGAGCTGACATCAGTTAAAGAACCATTGGAAAACCTGGAAGTACTGGATAGCTGTTTCGTCCTAGTTTGGGACTCTTCACCAGTACACACTCACCGCCAGGGTTCGAACCCAGGACCTTCTGGTTACAAGGCTAGCGAGCTCGTAGACCATTGAGCCACTGGGAACCGATCCAATGGCCCGTGAATTCTAACTTCTAAAGTGACTGAACCTTTAGTCAATGACTTCAAAAAGTGCGATGTAAATATGCAAATCCGAATTCAGTGTTTGCTTCAGTCCTTTTCAAGTCTATCATACTAGATATACTTCACTTAATTGTGCTTCATCTTCATTTTCCTCTTGTTCCCTTTAATAGTTTCCAATTACACTGAAACACAAAGCTTCATGCCCTTGAAATACAAACGCAATCAGATGGAGTGCTTCGTTCTCAGAGCAAGAGCAATCTGCTCGGACGAATGTCTTGCAGAGGAACTTAATAATATTAAACGGTTGCTGAGTGAAAACGGTTATCCAAAAAAGTTCATTGATAAGAATATGTATCTAAGATCAAAGCAGCCCAAAGTATCAACAGTTCTTAAAAAGGCCTTATTCTTACAAATTCAGTTCCTCGGGGATAACATCAACGAGATACTAATAAAACACCTTAGAAATGCAGTAAAAAGAGAATTCCCTGCTGCTGAATTACGCTGTGTCTTCAAAACCATCCCTATTTTACGATCGAGAGTAAAAGATAAACTGTATAACTTCCCCTCTTCTATGTGTATCTACCCAGTTCGATTGTTCCCGTGGAGCCAGTTACATAGACCGTACAATTAGGCGTGTTTCTTGTCAGATTTCTGAAAATCACCCCTGTGTGGTTAAGTAAAGAACAAACAAAATCTATTCGTAGCACTATTCTATCTCATCTTATGGATTGATGTCAACGAGGCTTTCAAAGTCATCAACCGCATACCAACTAATCTTGAATTCACCGTTGGGATCCACATTAAGAAGCCTAACTTGTGTATCCAAAAGAAGTTGGTTGCTTCCAGACACTGTCCCTACCCCACTACTGACCGTCAAGGTTTTATTGATCCTTAACTTTTTGTAGAAATTTCCTTAATTTTAATTGATATTATATTTGCTATTATATTTTTATGCTTATTATTATAATTTATGCATCGTTAATGAACTGTAATTCCATTGTGATCTTACTTAACAAATCGATAGTGTTTAAAAAACCAATATTGTTATTGACTACTATTCTAGAATATTCTGAGTAAATAAACATATATATAATTGTAGAGCAAGAAGACGAAATTATCGACAAGGATATTCTTTGCTCAATTATTTTGTTTTGTATAGATATCTAAATGAATATTTTCGATATAAACAATACGCGTTGGTCCATATATCTTACACTCGATTGATTCCTAACAGTTAATATGGGCTTGATTGTTAAAACCTTTTTTTTAAAAACTTTATTCCATTACATTCCGAGTGGAACATGGGGACTTGAAGCTAATGCTTCAAGGTTCCGGTAGCAGTGGTTTTATTTTTACAGCGTGAGATCGCTAACTTGTCGTCTTACAACCAATCTTCCCTCTTTACCGGCCTTAGCAAAGTCTAGGAGTGCGCCGGCCAAGGATCAAAACCCCGGACCGTGTGTGTTTCACCACTGAATAGCACGCACCCGTCTGGGTTCAAACCCAGGACCTTCTGGTCACTAAACGACCAGTCTCCTAGACCATTCAGACACTGGGAAATTAAGCGTTATCCACTAGGCCACACAAATGTAGTGTCACTACAAACAGTCAATAAATAACTTAACCACATCCACTGAAACCTATTCATCAAGTAAGACACACTATGCATTGTGTGGAATTCTACATTAAAAAAAACTGAAAAAGTCAAGCATACACACGCATACATACAGTTGTAGATCTTATCTAATGTGGCTATATTGTACAACGAATGTGCATACACACTCACTTTTGAAGTTAATGATTGCTCAGGTGAAGCATTTAAATTATTCTTATGTACAATAGTACTATTATTATTATTAGTTGTAGCATCATCACTTTTATCCAATAACTTTTGTAACTGCCTAATTCTTGCCTCCAATAATCGATTATGGTCAAGCAGAGTTGTCAGACCGTATAAATAGTCAGACACGTGATTCTCTCGTTGACCATCATGTTTAGGCAAACGCCATTCCCATCGTAAATACAGATCACGCCATAAACTGTTGAGATACAAAAAGAAAAAGAAAAGGAAATCAAAAAAACAGCATGGATCAAAGTATGAAAAAGTTCAACTTAAGGCGTTAACAATATAGAATTATTTGGGTGTGTAACAATTCAGTTTATTTTTCAAGTATTGGTTTTCGTAAGGATTTTGTTTGATTGGATGGAGGATTTCATCATGAGCTGACATCAGTAAGAGAATCACTGGAAAAGCTGCAGGGAGTACTGGACAGCTGCAAAATGGTCGCGCTATGCCATGAATTGGCAGAAGTTAGAATTCATGGCCTGGCCATTGGATAGGTTCCCAGTGGCTCAATGGTCTACGAGCTCGCTAGCCTTGTAACCAGAAGGTCCTGGGTTCGAACCCTGGCGGTGAGTGTGTACTGATGAAGAGTCCCAAACTAGGACGAAACAGCTACTCAGTACTCCTAGGTTTTAGAGTGGTTCTTTAACTGATATCAGCTCATGCTGAAATCCTCCATTCAATTTAGTTTATGTTTAGATGTTGTTTCAGTAATAATTTAAACAACACATGTTGGCGCGTCCAAGTAATATTGATGAATACTTCGAAATTGAGGAGATGTTATTTCGTCAGAACTACGTTTTAAAAGATACTTCAGAAAAAAGATCCGAATAAACAACCTAGCACTGCTGAGGGTGGATAGAATTTGGTCTTCCTATTGAAATGCCACCATCATGTGGCCACACGTTCATACTCTCTGCCAAGCATATCGTAATCACAGCCATCATACATCCTAGCAGGTATGTTTCTCACAAGAGAGAAAGTGAGCGTCTGATCCTTACAACCGCAGTGGTGCACTCTCAGTGCACAAGTTCTATTCTTATAACAACGGATTGGTAAACATTTATGTCTTTTAGCTCGATGTGATTGTATTCTCTGAGCTGGATGATAGTTTTACTTGTGAAGCTTTCAATGTCCTACTAGGCAATATCCTTCACGGCGCACACTTCAATTTGTTGAATTGAGCTTTTAGATTTCTCCACGAGTTTATTAGTCATCTCTCCTAATGTGTGATGACTTTGGACCTCGTGATTGCTTGTTTTAGTGTGTTTTCACACCCTCTAGGCCACTACTTGTATTGGAACTGATTGTTTCCGTTACTAGAAGTTTGACGCTTTTTTTTTTATTTTTGATTACAGCTTGACCCCCACACCGTACTTTTGGTACAAGTATGGAGTTTTCAGCGTGGATATCGGTAGCCCAAATTTCGCAGGCCGACCATAGATATCAAGTGTGCGTCGGCGAGGGCTCGAACCCCGGACCATGTGCATGGTCAGCGAGAGTCCTAACCACTGTGCCACCGACGCACAGTGGTTGGTAAATTTTGCCTATTTCGATGTGTCTATTGATTGAAGATTCATTGGAATACCAGGCTGGCTTCTAAAATTTCTCTAGCATTCTTGGTGTTTCCTCCGCCTAATATTTGAACGTTGACCTTTAGAAATGACTTCGCAAACAAACCAACAAAATCACTTCATTCAGTTGCCTCTATGTAACCCAAAAGACTCAACAACGAAAAAAGATAAAACCAACATCATCTACAAAATAAATTGTAACATCTGCGAAAAACACTGCATTGGCCAAAAAGGACGTCCTCGTCATCTTCATATCCATGAACATAATCTAGCCATCAAAAGACATGATATCTACTCCCTCATATCGCCTCACTGCATACAGACAACCACGGATATCAATTCGACTGGGACACCGTTCAAATATTAGGCGGAGGAAACACCAAGAATGCTAGAGAAATTTTAGAAGCCAGCCTGGTATTCCGGATGCTTCGATGGTGGGAACTCCATCACTCACTGGGAATTGCCCGTACGTCCAGATGAAGAGTCCCGAACAGGACGAAGTTAGGAGAGATGACTAATAAACTCGTGGAGAAATCTAAAAGCTCACTTCAACAAATTGAAGTAAAGCAAATAAACCATTCAGCTCAGAGAACACAACCACATCAAAATCATCCACCTGAGCTACAAATCTTCTCCAACATATCTACATTTATGTCTACCTAGAGTGGCTGGAAAACCATGATTCCAAACCTATAGTGTACATGGGCTCCGAAATCCCTAAAGAATCGAATGGCATGTGAATCTGTTTTGGCCACGGAAAAGCATGCAGACTCAGCCACTGATGCTGCTCCACGACATTGTGGATCAGACTTCAAGTCAAAAGCTTGGGAGTAGTCCCTCAAAACAATCACCTGTTTCGACCTGAATATCCCGACAGCATCCAGGACACCGCATAAACTTATGGGCTTTTGTGTGATGCATCCCTTGGTCCCCATGATGTGGTGTGTTTGTTGTTTATTAGTAATTAATAACAACTTTTTGTTCATCACTTTGTATTATGAAATGAGAAGAATAAAATGCGTGTGTTTAGACGATGTTTATTCAAGATCACATGATCATATTACTTAATCGTCTCGTCAACAGAATCCAATCAGCAGGTGGTAGCGATTATAGTACGGCTAACGACTTGGTGGTTGCTGGTACAGTGGTCTACTGACTCAGCTAAGAAGCCTAGTTAATGACAAATTGTCAATTTAACTTTGCTCAACCAGAATTTTACCCAGTTATGGCATTTCTATCGGTAGAGAATCGGTTCATGAAGATGTTTGTCAGTAGTTTGAATTGAGAAATGACCCGATAATTTTTTGTTATACTTCTTATTAAATTGATTCGATTCACCAGAGTTAAGTTACTGGGTACAATTTGACCAATATATAAGCTAATATTAGAGAAGAGGTATATATTATGTTCATCTTGTTTAGTTAAAAGTTATGACAAGAATACCGGTTTTTGTTGTCAAATACATCTCATATGATCGTTCTTAACTTCATAGAAAGTCTTTCATGTAAACTCTGAATCGACAGCTGAATTACAGATCGAGAATAGTAGCAGCAAAAGCAGAATATTCTTTTATTCCGAATATTAAAACTGGGGAGGAGTTGTACAGTGAAATATTTTTCTCCGCTGAACTATGTACACATGTAAAGACATAAACTAACATCTTAAAGAGTTAGTTAGCGAGGATTATATTTCTCTTTACCAGTTGACCATGAATTGATATCAATTGCAAAAATACCCGAAAATAGACGGCAGTACTGAACAGCTGTTTCATGCAAGCTTGAGAATCATCGGTAGTACGCCAGCACAGCAACTCACTACATAGCGGGAAGTCGTGACCACCAGTAGGGCATAGCAGGCTGACAGTGATATGTAGTCACATGATGTCTGCTTTGTTTTGACAGTATGGTATATTTTGCTATGTTTGTAATAATCGTTATTCCATTATATAACTCACAATATATCTTGTCTGTCCATTAACTAAATAAACAATTTATGACCTTTTATTACATGACATTACAACCAATCAGAACCCAATGGTGGTATGAAAGACTACTATCTGTCATATTGGTTCATGTATGTTAGTCATTTTCACATATACTCTTGTGTATTGTACAGTTGATTCACACTTTTAGTACACTTTAGTACTACTTTTTTCACTCACACTCTTGTGTGACAGTTAATTTTCCTTGTTGGAAAATACACCTATATTCCTGAACGTGGTGACCTTCTGATTTTTGAATCTGGACAAGTCTTGCTGGGTCTTGCTCTAAGGCATTTACACAATGTGCTATTTCACGTAAGTCTACCTCTTTTGTTCTGGATAAAATATCTGGTAACACGTTCTCTTCTCCTGGAACATGAGAGGTCGTGAAATCATACTCTTGCAGGCGCAACATCCTCCGTGACAACTTCCCACGTGGGTCTCCGGAGGTTCTCAGCCACTGTAATGGCTCTACATGCTAACTGTATGCGCCTACGCAAAGTCTGGTGTGATTGGTTGTTGAATCAGTCTTTGCTCATATTTTTTTCACGAACCATATTGAGGACACTAATTTACGTCTATGTTTATGTCCTCAATATGGTTCGTGAAAAAAATACGAGCAAAGACTGATTCAACAACCAATCACACCAGACTTTGCGTAGGCGCATACAGTTAGCATGTAGAGGATCGGACATTCAAGAAAAAGCCACTAAGAGATGAAAGATTAACTTTCAGTGAGAAACAACCAATCAGAAGACTGTATTTTTCTGCTAACAATTATCTATAATAATGCACATGAAAATCTATAAATATGTGTTGATTTGCTTAATAAACGATCTGTAGCCTGACTCTTGCCTTCTGTCGTTATAATTGGTGTCGCTGCCTCCGAACAATGAAGATCCCATGGCCAACTGCGTTTGAGGAGGGAGACATACGGAGCTTCTGACGTGACCTCGAGGCCGTTGCTGACTTGGTGGGTGTCAAGGAGCAGGCGGCGAAGGCGGTTGTGCTATAGAGACCCTGTTGAGAGGCCGAGGGAAGGCGGCATATGACAGCGTAGAGAGGTCAGATGGCACAGCGTCTTGGAAGACATTGGTTGAACGATTGGTGTCGTAGTTCGACAGCGCAACAGACAGACAGCTAGCAATGCAGCAGTTCCGTTCAACGAAGCTGGGACCTGATGGAGACCCTTTAATATTGGCGGTGAAATCGACGAATCCACTTCGACGTGCGCTTCCCACTTTGGATGAGGAATCAGGGGCGCAGTTACTGAGTTCCCAGTTCATCAAGAGTGTCCCAGACCACATTTCTCAGCTATTACAACTGGTTAACGCAGTGCAGCCGATGGATATTAGTGAGCTGGCGAAGGTGACCAGACAGCTGCTGAGCACAACTGTAGCCGCTATAGAGCAACCAAAACCAAACGAATACGAGCAGAAAATCGAAGAGTTGCAACGTGAAGTAGCCGCGCTGAGACTGAGCGTGCGGAGAGACCGGTGTTTCGCATGTGGTAAACTGGGCCACTGGAGAAACCGCTAACCGGAGAGGCGACGAAGAATAAGTTTTAAAAGGTATACCATGTCTTCTTCCTGTGTCCCGAGACTTGAGGTAATAGGGGCGATATATTCGAAGTTATGTGTAAAGGACCGCGAATTGGTGTGTTTGGTTGACACAGAGGCAGCAGTCTCACTCGTAGATAGGAGCCTATGTGAGAGTACAAGACCGTGTTCGTGGACAGTACAGACAGTGAGGGTCACGTGTGAAGAATCGAGGGAGTGTCAGACTGCAGAGTTAGAATTGGAAAGGATAGTGTGACGTTCCCATTCTTGGTCGTATCTGAATTGCGCCGAACAATCCTTGAGGCAGACTGTTTGCGAGAAGTGGATGCAGTGATTAACATGAAGAAAAGGGTTGTCGTTACAAAGTATGGTTGTTTCAGCATGCACGAGAATAGTGAGGTAGCAGGGATTTCGGTGTCAGAAGTCCTAAGTGTAGCAAAGTTACTTAGCAAAAATACGACCATCTTTTCACTGGAAAGGGTGGTCCGTGCGGTTGCTGTGATAAAGTGAGACACGAAATTCCAGTGACAAGCGGAAAAGTGAGACAATTCGTTACTCAAAGAATCCCGTGTCACTTAGAAAGCGAGGTTGCAAGACAGGTTGAAGAGATGTTGAGGGATGATATTATTGAAAAAGCCGATAGTCTATATAGTTCTCCAGTGCTATTGGTGAAAAGCAACGGGGAATACAGATTTTGTGTTGATTTCCGACAATTGAACAGTATAACAGAGCTGAGACCGTGCGCGATGCCAACAATAGCAGAAACTTTAGATCACTTAGAAAGTGCGAAGCCGTTCACAGTCTTAGATCTGCAATCGGGGTACTGGCAACTGCCAATAGAACGAAGAGATAGAGATAAGACGGCGTTCTTTGTGGGACAAAAACAGTATCGATTTAAACGCATCCCTTTGGGATTGGCAGTTGCTTCGTTTACATTTAGACGATTAATGATGTTGCTGCTGAAGAATTTGAGGAACGTTGAAGTTTATGGAGATGATCTAGTGATACACAGTACAAGCGAGACTGACTACGTAGAGCATGTAGAGGCGGTCTTAAGACGCATCGAAGAATTCGGTCTACGCATCAACAAGGAGAAGTCTCAGATTGCCAAGAAGAACGTCACACTTTTGGGTCATAAGGTGGGAAACGGCGAGATAACACCGCTGCCGGAAAAATCTTAACAATCAAGTCCATTGAGCCCCCGAATTCGAAAAGGAAATTAAGACAGTTTTCAGGGAGAGCAGCGTTCTATAGTCGATTCGTGAAAAGCTTCAACAAGGTAGCAGCTCCGCTCTACCGGCCATTCGGCGAGTCAGTTTGTCTGGTAGGAGGACTCGCAGAGGGTATTTGACTGCATCAAACAGCTGATGAATCACCAGAGAATGACGCTGCGACTACCGGTGCCGGGAGTGCCGTTCATAGTGTCTACCGATGCTAGCGATTACGGAATAGGCGCAGTACTCAGACAGGGTGACGCAGTCGTCGAATACGCCAGCCGTGTTTTAACGCACACGGAACAGAAGTAATCAACAATTGAGAAAGAGTGTTTGGCGATTGAGTGGGCGCTAGACAAATGGAGACCCTATTTATTTGGTCAACGGTTCCACGTAGAAATTGACCATAAGCCATTACAGTGGCTGAGAACCTCCGGAGACCCACGTGGGAAGTTGTCACGGAGGATGTTGCGCCTGCAAGAGTATGATTTCACGACCTCTCATGTTCCAGGAGAAGAGAACGTGTTACCGGATATTTTATCCAGAACAAAAGAGGTAGACTTACGTGAAATAGCACATTGTGTAAATGCCTTAGAGCAAGACCCAGCAAGACTTGTCCAGATTCAAAAATCAGAAGGTCACCACGTTCAGGAATATAGGTGTATTTTCCAACAAGGAAAATTAACTGTCACACAAGAGTGTGAGTGAAAAAAGTAGTACTAAAGTGTACTAAAAGTGTGAATCAACTGTACAATACACAAGAGTATATGTGAAAATGACTAACATACATGAACCAATATGACAGATAGTAGTCTTTCATACCACCATTGGGTTCTGATTGGTTGTAATGTCATGTAATAAAAGGTCATAAATTGTTTATTTAGTTAATGGACAGACAAGATATATTGTGAGTTATATAATGGAATAACGATTATTACAAACATAGCAAAATATACCATACTGTCAAAACAAAGCAGACATCATGTGACTACATATCACTGTCAGCCTGCTATGCCCTACTGGTGGTCACGACTTTCCGCTATGTAGCGAGTTGGCAGAATTTAGAATTCATCGGCTGACTGACCGTTGAGTCGGCTCCCAGTGGTGTTTGAATGGTATTCGAGCTAGGTAGCTTGCCTTGTAAGCGGAGGGAGGTGGGTTCGAACCCTGGTAGTGATTGCGTACTTGCGATGATTACCAATCTAGTATGAAATAGCCATAGAGTACTTCCAGCTGGTTTTCCAATGGTTCTCTAACTGATGTCAGCTCATGATGAAATCTTCCCATCAATCAACCAATTCCCTGCAAAACCAATACTTTTGAACCAAGTCGGTGGATGGTGACTAGCAGGGGAATTCAGTACAACCTGAATTTCGTCCTGTTCAGGACTCTTCATCTGGACGTACGGGCAATTCCCAGTGAGTGATGGAGTTCCCACCATCGAAGCATCCGCACATGGAACCCAGATTTCAACCTGAGACTTACCATTTCGGTTCATTCAATCCATGGGAAAATTTTAAATTGAATGAAATATTTCGAACAGAAGTTTAATATTTTTATGAGATCATGAACACATGGAATACATACATAAGTAGTGTACATATCAAGACGTCTTAAACAGCCTCTCTTCACTATTCAAGAAGAAGGGTAACATTCCTACGTAAAGTTGAAACTCAAACTAACAAATTCATGTACATGCCCTGAATGTATAAAGATTAGGAAAGCAGACTTACCGGAACAATGGTGCATGTAATACATGTGCTGGAAGCATATCTGCTGCATATCGACTATTGCCTTTACCATCGTCAAGAAGTTCAATTCCAGAGGTGATTAAATCATCTGTTTCATAATATGATTCTTTTTCTAAATCAAAACTACTCCCGATAGAAAAATTTGTCCATACTGAATTGTGTTCATAGAATGGATTAATCCATTTATCACGGGATTGATTTAAATAAGCCCAGAGAGAGTAAGTACGCTCACGAACTCTAAGAAAAATACATATAGAAATAATGGTAGGCATACATACAATAATGCTGCTACTAATGTCTACTCCTCATCTATGCTATAAAAAAATAAATAAACAAGACTAGCCCACTTTACAGCAAAAGTTAACTTCAATTGATGGAATCGTAGTATATTCGCAGGTTGGGTGAAATCTGTTCCCAGTCTTATGAAATAACAACAGTTTCTAGCGTTTAAAGCCTTATATGGGGAAATCATTTCCGTCGTACATTTGGTTCCCTTGATAAATTTCGATAAAGAAAGAAAGAACGAAGAAATTCACAGTATAAAATGTGATATCGTCATTTTATTTCACAGGTTCTCATCAGCTGCAGATTACCTCAGATTACAATGGTGGTAGCAGAGAAGAAATACTATAAAAGTGACGCATCTAAAATGTAAGCATTACGACATGACCACCTTGTTTACAAATGTACCTCTGATTCAAACAACTGACATCATTTGTAAACAAACGGATCTACTACCAATATCTGAAACAGAGAATAAGCAACTAGTGTTACTTTGCACAGAAGACATAAAATTCAAATTTAACAATCAACTTTACCGATAAATTGATGGGGTCACTATGGGTTCACCTCTGGGACCTATTCTGGCTGATATCTTCATAGGCTACCTCGAACAGACACAACTGAGCTCTGATGGAACGACCTACTATCGCCGATGTTTTTATGATACATTTGTTATTTGCAACGACATGGATCAGGCATCAACATTATATTATCACCTCAATGAGATCCATTCAAACATCAAATTCACCAAGGAATATGAGCATAATAATGAGTTCAATCTCCTGGGTTTAAATTTAGAAAGAGCAAACGATGGTACGATCGAAAAGTTTATCAACAGAAAAGAAACCTAGACAGGGCAATATCTTCTTTATAGCAGCTTTTGTCCCATAGGCTAGAAGCGTGGATTACTGAGGACTTTGTGCGACAGAGACGGGAAGCTATACTTCCCGAACAAGGTGGAAGAAGAATTAGGTTTCGTTGAGAAATGCCTAAGAAAAAACAGATACTCAAAGGGATTTATACAAAAGTATAGCAGAGAAAAAGATAAGAAATCAAAATACCCAACTGTAGAAAAGGAGAAAGTGTTTACTTTTCTCCCATTCAAAGGAGATGCAGTGTCACAAAAGCATGACAAGAGAATGAAAGGAGCAATAAAAGGAAACTTCCCTGCAGCTAAACTCATAAAATTATGCCGCTCTAAACTGCATAAATAACTTGCTGTTGTCATCTACAACTGTGTTTATAAATTTGCGTACACTTGTGATAGCAAGTACATTGGAAGGAGTGAAAGAAGGGCTTATATATCCGATTTTCTGGACATATTCCAAGAAAATTGGGTCTGAAAGGAAGCGAATATTCTCAGAGTGCAGTTACCAGACATACTGTTGATACCGGTCATTTGGTAGAGATTTCTAAGTCCTTCAAAATAATAAATCAATAGAGGAGAGCAAAGTTACTATGATTTGCTGAAGCAATTGCAATCAAACGATTCACACCAGACTTATGCATACAGAGAGAGAGAGAGAGAGTCTGATTAATCTCTCACTCCCTTTGGCAACTGAATTTTGATTTTGATTGCATTAATTAGTCATCTGAGTCAGTAATCTCAACTCACTGAACATATCTCAATTTTATAAACTGTAACCGCTTTCGTTTTTTTTGAGTTGCTATGTGAACAAGCTACAAGCTAACACTGTTTGTTAATTTTTTCTGCTTTTCGTCTTACCCCTCCCCCATCTTTTCAACTTTAAAATCGTATAAATTGATAATGAAAACTTAAACTAAAAATTGTAATGCACACATTTTGGATGAGTCAGCTTTATAGTATTCCTTCTCTCCTACCATTTAAACATTAAAGTATGTTATTATCACCCATATATAACCATTATAATTACAGGTAGTCTGCAGCAGCTGATGAGGACCTGTGAAATAGAATGATGATATCACATTTTACACTACGAATTTCTTCTTTCTTCTTTTCCTTATCGAAATTTATCAAGGGAACCAAATGTATGAAGTTTTTGTGAAAAAAACTCACCATTTTTCTACAGGCTGCCATCGATGATATCCTGAATAACGCAAGTGCTTAGCAGGCTCAATAGTCATGCGTAGACTAAGTGGTGCTCGGAAGGCAGAAACACGAGAGAGCCAAGCAGGCTTTAGACCAGGAAGAGGGTGTATCGATCATATCTTCACCCTCCGACAGATTCTAGAACATAGGCATTCCTACCGGCGTCCAACAATCATTATATTTCTTGATCTTAAGGCGGCATTCCATTCTGTCGACCGAGAGGTACTCTGGCGATGCTTGGCTGTAAAGGGAGTGACGAAAAAATGCATTACACTGATCAATGCGCTCTACTCGAACTCATGCAGCCAGGTGAGGGCTTATAGCGAGTTGTCATCTGAAGTGGTGACAACTAATGGTTTGCGTCAGGGATGCCCATTATCCCCATTCTTATTCAACTTCATCATAGATGTACTAAAGGACTTAACCCTAACTCACTTCAGCGACTCAGGGATTGACTCGCTACCAGGGAATAATCCCGTTGACTTAGAGTATGCAGACGATATAGTCCTTCTAGGCGAAGACGCTGACAAAATGCAGAGTCTTCTAAACACCTTGAGCCGCAATCTACGAATGTTTGGCATGCGATTAGCTCCCGCCAAATGCAAGATGACGCTACAGGACTGGACCACACTGACTCCTAAATTAGAAATAGGGAGTGAAGGGGTAGAGTACGTCATCCGCTTCACTTATTTGGGAAGTACCATCAGCCCCAACGGGTTGATCTCTGACGAAATCTCCGCCCGTATACAGAGGGCTAGTTTCGCATATGCCAGTCTACGCCGTCTCTGGTGTAGACGTCATATCTGTCTGTCTGTCTGTTTTCGACATAGAACTTTGCACAAATGCGCGGAAGTTCAAGTCGCCACATTCCGTGTAGCACGCGAAGCAAGAGAAGAAAGTACAAGAAAAGCATAATAGAAACAGTGAGCAGAGGTGTGAGACAAAGGAGTAATAAAGAAATACAAAAGTTTCATTGAAGATCATAGACGTCATATCCGACTATTGACTGAAGGGCGGATGTATTGATCATTGATCAGCGGTCCGCTCCGTCCCCCTTTATGGCTGTGGGACCTGGCCATTGAAAGTGGAAGACATGAAAATATTAGCTGTCTTTGATCATAGATGCCTGCGCTCTATCTCGCGTGTGAAGTGGTATAATAAGGTGAGCAATATTGAGGTGAGGCATCGGTCGAGTGCTAAGTAAGGAGGGAAAATCAATCGACGAAGCTGTGAAATTACATCGACTGAGATGGTTGGGACATGTGTTACATATGCCTAGACTAGTCATCGCCTTCCTCGACCGACGGGCGATGTTAGCTGACATAGGGTCAGGCTGGAAAAGAGCTAGCGGAGGTCAAACAAAAACATGGCTTCACCAGTCAATGAAATCTACAACAGTTAATCTAAGCCGCGTAGGAAGGTGTAGACTTCCTGGTTGGGGTCCTCGGGATGGTGAAACCGATGGTTGGAAACAAATGGTGATATGGCTCAAAATTGTTCTCAATGGCTCAGATGCATCCACTCCCTGTGACTTATGATTTCCAATGAAAGTATATTGTTCTTGGTTATTACTATTCCTTTGTCTCACACCTCTGTTTACTGTCCCTATTATGCTTTTCTTCTCTTGCTTTATGTGATTTATGTGGCGAGTCGAACTGTCGCACATCGGTGCAAAGTTATATGTCGAAAACAGACAGACAGTAGTTCGGGAATATTAATAGATATAGTTCAAAGTCGAAATTAATGAGGAACACACCATAACCTACTCTTTTGTAATCTTTCCGAAAGTAGTACTAGATAGTGAGAGGTATTTTGAATGTAATTGATAAATATGCTTAAATGTATTAGTGTTGTTGATGTTCACGTGATCTAACTTCCTTTGTTTCAACTCCACACTCTAACAAGACTGATTGACTGACTGGTTTCAACGTAATACCTTTCATAGATGTGCAGCAGTGAGAGTTGCCACACTCCCTCCATGTACCACACAAAACAAGAGAACACAGAGATTCAAAAGTGAGATAATAAACAGACATATGAGGGAATAAGAATAGTAATATGGAAAAACAATAGAATTTTATTGTGCATTATAAATCACAGGGAGTGAATGCACCTGCGCCACCCATTAAAAACGATTCTCAGCCATATCACCGATTGTCTCCAGCCCTTATTGGTTTTTACCATCCTGAGGAGCCCAACTAGACAGCAGTCTACACCTTCCTACGTGGCTGGTTGGCTGACTAAAACTATCTGTAGTGGATTTCATTGACTGATGAAACCATATTTTTGTTTGACCACCACTAGCTCTCTTTTTCCCAACTTGATCCATCCTATGTCAGTCAGCTAATATCACCCGTCGGTCGAGGAAGGCGATGGCTAGAAATGCGCAACACATGTCCTAGCCATGTAACTTCACAACCTCACCGACAAATTTCTCCTCCTTACCTAACATGGCAGATAGTACGCAGGCACCATGATCAAAGATAGCTAACCTTTTTGTTTCTTCCACTTTCAACGGCAATGTCTCGCTCACACCCATAAGGGAGGATGGAGCGAACTGCTGAACAGCACACACGCCCTCTGGTCGACAGCCAGCCGGATATCACGTCTTCTAAGCCAGAGATGTTGCAAACTGGCATATGCGAAATGAGCCTGCTGTATCCCTGTTGAGATTTCATCAGCGGTCAACCTTTTGCGGCTGATGCAACTAACAAGGCATACGCAGTGACACCATATTGTCTTAAAAGTTTCAGTAATTGAAGACACTTGTAACCTGTTCATGCATAACAAGACAGAGGATAGAATATAGGCCTTTATTGAACTTTCAACTCTTGATACTACCTCATGAAATATTTTAACATTCATGCGACATTTTCAACTAGATAAAATAGATGACAAAAGGAAGTGCAAATCGTTTCCAAAAGTAAGTAAACATGCTTCAAGGGAAGGCAGTTTTGCGTGTAAAGCACATCATACTTCCCCCACACAGGATCTACTTTACAGATTCATGTGCTCAAATACAGACAAACGCAAGCACGTGAAAATATGCAAAAAAAAATACGCTAAAGACAATACGTTAACAGTTATCTCACGCTCAATACCGTTATATATGTGTACCCTTGAAGCGAATTACTTAGAGAATTTCGATATAATGGAGAAGATTTGTAGCTCAGACGGATGATTTTGATGTGAACGTGTTCTTTGAGCTGGATGATAGGTTACTTGTGGAGCCTTTCATTGCCTTACTAGGCAACATACTTCAATTTGAAGTATGCGCTAAAGATGTTGCCTAGTAACGCAACGAAAGGCTCCACAAGTAACCTATCATCCAGCTCAAAGAACACGACCACATCAAAATATTTAGAGGATTTCCTCCCATGAAAACAAAGATGGACAGATGATGAAACAAAATTTTCTTTTAAAACCAGTTGTCTAAATCGATGATATCAAAACTTACCTAAGATTTATTCTCTCCTTTTCATTACATCCAATAAATGTTCCATAAACTGCTGAGTAGACTTGATCGTGTAGAAATTGTAACAGCTTAACATTATACTCAAATTTACTTGGACATATTTCTAATAAGTGTCGAAGGCAGTCAAGAAATTGAGTGAAAATAGGCGATACTTCACGTGGATCAACATCCGATTCTAAACCACATCTTTCAGTGAATTTATACCCAAACTGGATCCATTCTTTTTCAATCAATGCCTTTAAAAGTTAGAGTAGAAGGGGAAAAATTAAGGAGTGAAAAGCGAACATTATGCGAATGAGCAAAGCAAAAATGGAATTGTAATCTCTCACTTCCCACACTTATCGGATATCACACCGGTGTCATTATCGCTGTGCGAAGGAGTATCCTATATGCGTCTGTAACTCATTGGTAAAATGCTAACTAGTCATGCGAGAGATGAGGGGTTCGAATATCAAGCGATACACCACCGAACCCCGCCTAGTCAGCACTAAGCCCTGAAAAGAAAGGAGGTTGGGCGTCAGGTTATCAACACCACACCGTAAAGGCAGCATCTCCTCTACTGAAACTTCCTACTCGGAACACAAGGAGTGCGAAAAATATTTAAAACATAGCAAATTATACACCAGCGTTATGGAAAAGCTCTTTCTGTTTCAGTTATCTAAGTAAAATGTGAGTTTCTGTAACAAGTGGCTGGCAAAGAAAGAGTGGATTCTTTGCCTTCGCAAGCTTGTAACACCAAAAAAGTTAATCTGTCGTTATACTTGGAGATTGTTATTGTTACTATACCGTCTTAGTTATCTTGTTCCAGTACACTCTTAACCTTTAATACAACGTTTAAAGCAAGCATCATTCTTCCGAAAATACTCGGCAAAGTTAAACTATTGCAACGACAGAATACAAGGGCCAGGCAATAGATAGTTTATTGAGAAAATCAACACATACTTATAGATTTTTATGTACATTATTATTCGTCATTATTGGCAGAGAAACAGTCTCTTCTGATTGGCTGTTTTCTCGCTGAAAGTTATCCTGTCATCTATTTTTTGCCATTTCTTTGAAGGTCAGACTATAATATATCTGCTAATCGTATCCGCCCACGCAAAGTCTCCCGTGATTGGCCGTTGAGTTAGTCTTTGTTCTTGCTTTTTTTTCTCATGATCAAGATTTTCGACGTAAACATTGATGTAAATTGCTGCTTACCAATTTTGGCTAGTAAACAGTACACTATAACAATCTATGGAATGCGAACGCACGAGTGACTTTGAGTCGACCAGTCAGAGAAACCAGTGGTTCTTACACAAAAATGACGTTTACATACAACAGAAGTGCACGAAAATACATTAAACAGGATATTTTTCCCTGACATGAATTAAAAATATCTCCCAATTATAGTGTGAGGTGTATCGCTTTTTAAGTTAAACCAGTTTCTATACATGTATGCCCTAGGTTGACATCAGTTATATTTCTCCTTTAATAGGGAAGGTTTCATCGGTGTGAACAATAACACCAAATACTCCCAACAGTTGCATGACGGTATTTATCTTCCAGGACTCTGTATTTCTGAAATAATGGAACCATTACACAATGGATACCAATGAATTCTGCGTCTGTACAGCTGTCGATTCCACCCCATTCCTTAATATCCAATGATGGCAGATAAAAGGGAGATTTTTCAACTACAGTTTCGATTTAGAAAAGGAAGCTCCTAGAAAATAATGAACTGAATGTGTAACATTACCCTTACGAACACTAAATCCTTTCCTACACTGTGTACACCAAAATACAGGTCCATCACCTGTTTCTAAACACGCATGGATGTAAATTGAAGGGCTACAAAAACATTTATGGCTACATGATATCAACACATTATCCAAACAGGACTTAAAAACCAGATCCGGATGAAATTTGCACCTTAATTCGTGAATAGCGTTCATAGTCGCTCTATAATGATGGTAAGTCCCGTTATCCAACGGCTAGCGTGCGTTCGAGGCCATTAGTGCATTCGCACACCCGAATTGTGATACTTTTAACTTGGCCAAATACTGATCCCAAAAATGTAGTCAAACAAAATTTCACTGTGTTAACCAGTAAGGAGTATTTGGAGATCTCAAGGTTTAAAATAAGGGCTATCAAGATTGATAGCTTAGAGTTCAACCTTTAGAGAGGGGAGTGTGCCGAAAGACTTGATAAACGAATGTTTATTTGCGATTTGGTATCTCTATATAGCCAAATCATGTACACCCTATCTTTAACGCCCCATTTGCACGGATCGTCCATATTGTCCTACTTCTGGACTTCATATTGCGTTCCCTTGTGTTCCTTTCACGTCGCCCGTGTATCTCCGCAACGCTGTACCATTTGCTTTTTCTGACATCAAATCTATCTCTCTGCTACTTGATTTTTTTGTCCATGAACATCTCTTTATGTACTACTGATAAATCTTATCATTAGTATACGACAGAGTAGAAGTGATTGTTGTCGATTGTTTTCATAACACCTGCAAACTTGGTAAATTATTATGATGCAAGATTTTGACCGTAAGTTTATTTCTCTTATCAGTTTGAGTTCAAATATAAATTGTAAACATTTTTTTAATACTTTAATTCAATTTGAACTTTTCCGTGGATTGATTAGACCGAGGTGTTCAGCCTCTGTTGGCATGCCAGCTCCTTGTGCGAACGCTTCGACGATGTCAGGTCATGTAACTTGGATTTAGTCAGTGGATGGTGACCAGCAGTGGAATGCAAGACAATGCGCATTTCGTTCTACTTGGGGCTCGTCAACTGAATTTACCTGAACTCCCCAGTGATTTATCATGTTTCCACTGGGGCTCGAACCAAGTGCCCATCAGTTCAAACGTCAAAGCGTGATCCACTAGACCAACTGGGTCAACAGAACCACCTCTTGTGCGCAACGTGTATCAGTTTTTATCACTTAATTCAGTTTTAGACTTTTTTAGTTTAATACTTTTCTGACCCACTTCTGTTTAGTAATAAATTAAATTTAACAATGCAACAAACTAGGTGTGCGTATAAACATACTTGTAATCCTATAAATGTTCGATAATACGGATCCAGAATAATTTGTGCTAAAGCGCAAACTTGAGCTGTACGATCCCAACCATCGGAACAGTGAACCAGTACCGAGTTGCCTTCATCCAATCGTTTAGCTACAAAATAGGCTGCCTCCAAGATTGCACGTAAGTGTTTAAGCCAACCAGATTTATCCAAACCCGAGGTGAAGTTTTCCAATGTGATTGTAGGACTGCAACAAACTAGAATGTATAAATATAGAAGTTAACTGCTTTACCAACAGACCGGAAATAGATTATACTTATATCAATAGCTGTAAATGTAAAGTATGTCTTTTTTAACTAAACATCAGTAAATTTTACGGAAAATCCAATGACATGCTTTTTCCTCTTATGTGTTCAGTAATTGTTGGCAGATGACCAAGGACATAACTGGACAAGAACTGCACTACCACTAAATATCAACAGGAAGGACAGATTCAAAGTGAAAATTGGGGAACTGATATGTTACTTAGATTATTTATTATATTATTACTCCCATAGGTCCCGAGTGAAACATAGGGCTTCAGCAACACATTTCCACTTTGCTTTAATTTCTGCTGTCCCCTTCAGCTGGATCCACGGTTGTCCATAATCTCTCATCGCCTCCTCGCCACACGATCTCCTCCACACCTCACCCTCGCACTGATGAACCACTCATCGCTTCCCATTGGGATTCCACTCGAGCAATGGGCTGGCATGCAATGACATTTGACGGTCTCCTCAGAGTGTGCCCGATTCATCTCCATTTTCTCCTATATATTTATTGAGCAATCGGCTCTCGATTGGTTCGTTCCAAGAGTTTCTTGTAAATGTTATTTTTCCGACTGGACATCCCACTAACAGTATGGAGGCAGCTGTTGGTAAAAGTCTGAAGTGGGTTGTTGGTAATCCTTTTTGTGACACACTCGTCAAGTTTCTGACCATCATAGAAGAACTTCACATTTGTGTTGGAAATCCGAATCTTGTTCTTTATGCTGGCTGGCTCAGTGCAGATGATTTCCAAAATGGTGAGGGCGTATCTTGACTTTCCGATTCTGGCTGTTGGTTGAAATCTTCATCTATTCCGCCAGTGGTTGAGACCATGCTCCCTAGATAAGGGAAGGAAGTAACCTCTGTCAGTCTCTTCCTCTCGTTGATGGTGATTGTTGCTGGTTGTTGTTGCCGTCAGTTGATTATATCCATCACTTCCGTCTTCTCTAAGTTAACCCGGAGTCCTGTCTTCTTTACCAGCCTCGTCTCTTCTACCAGTTTGTTGATATTCGCCTGCCTGCAAGTCTTCGAGTTTGTGTGACATTAAACACAAACCATCTGCAAAATCCAGATCTTCTAGGGCCCATTGAATGGTCCAGTGTGTTCCTGTTATCTCACTCCCAGCAGTCTAGACACATAATCCAGTCCACAACCATTTAGAATATCATCAGTGATAACAGGCAGCAAGCTTGTCTTATTCCTGTATTCACTTCGAACGCCCCTCTGAGTTTTCTGTTGTGGATCACCTGACACGTATCACTGTCATATAGCCATCTGTTGAAGAAGGTTGATAGAGACGTGGACATTGCACGCTGTAGTGCTGAAGTAGTTCCCAAATTACTTCTCGATCAACGCTGTCTGTTGACGGCCTTTTCGAAGTCGATGAAGTTAAGGTACATTTTTGACTGCCATATATTATATAAATAGGCTATAACAACCCTTCAAACGTATATTAAAAAACCCACCAACCGGAGAAGAGTTTAGGTACCGACACTAATAATCATATCTGTATGAAATCATAACCAAAAAAGCAACATAATAAATACTGTCGGCCAAATCGATTCCTTTTCATAGTCCTGTTAAAATGTGACTATAAACATAATCCTATAGCAGTTGGTTAGTAATCGTACTACTGTGACTGAAATGGGGCTATAGAAGCACATCTGTATTGAGAGATAATGGGATGGTAAGTGTTAGATAGAATGAGACGGCAAGACTTCATGTTAACTGGAACAAACTGTTTTCTTCAGTGGACATAAGTCACAGCATCCAGTTTACTTCGGAAGCAGAATCGGAAGTCGATGAACAACCATTTCTAAACTGTCTAGTTTGGAGGAGGGTAAACAGACATTTTAATATGTCTATACTCAGGGAGAAAACCCACTCCAATAAATATTTAGACCTCGCATCACCACACCCCCATCAGTGCAAAGGTATCAGTTGTTTAAAATCTTCTTAGACGAGCACACTCGTTGATGTTAAGGGATGAGAAAGAAAAAGAAGAAGAAATATCAAACATTACTGAGACTCTCAAGCAAAATAACTACCCAAAGAACTTCATCAACAAAATCAACACCGACATTAAATATGGTCGAAAACGTATTCCGAAAACATGGACGTCAACAGTTGTCATTCCGTATAGAGCAGAGACGTCAGATGATATCACAAGAGTGCTCAATAAGCACAACATTACAATTTTCTTCAAAACATCAGACACACTGCGAACCAACCTTGTCCATGTAACAGATAGAATTCCAAAATAAAATACTTTGAATGTGATGCGACATACATCGGACAAAATTTCGCCAGAGAGAAATCAAGGTAGTCAGAAGAAATGAACACCGCAGAACATCTGTTCGACCACCGAGAAATCCAGCTGGACTAGAAAAGCTTGAAAAATCACCAGCCAGCCATAGGTCTACACGCTATAAAATCAGGTCACAAAATTGATTTTGACAATATTGAAAAAATCCAGAAAAAGCATTTCAGAAATCACAAAGAACGTCTAATATCAGAGGCACTTCACATCAAATGGAATCCAAATTGTCTGAATATGAATGATGGAATAAAACAGAATTTGACCTGGTACAACACCCACCCCCCTCCTTCCCCCATGAAATGACAAAATCAACACGAATGTCATAGGCAATTTCATTATGTAAACACATGCTGCTTTTATAATTTTACACACTTATCAAATCCAACAATCTACACCTGGTTTTGTTATCTTTACCAATTGGCCGACTTGACAACGGAGAAATGCTCCCATGCCAAGGAACGATGATTAAGTTGTTATATGATATAAGCTGAGTGGATTTTGTAAATTCTGGTTTAATAATACTACTACTTTGATAAGGCTATTAACAGCAGCACTAAATAGCAAAACGTCAGTAAAAACAACGACAATATCGTTTTGCTCTTTTTCATTCACTGAGAAATATTGTAGAAAAAAAGGTCTCTTATAAATAATGAAGTAGACAGTCGTCTTACCTTTTAATAACTTTTCTAAAGATGATCGAACCACATGAATATTTTCAATATCAAAGAATTGAATTACAACATTACGATAAACATTAGTATCTTCATATCCTTTGCCTTGTGCACGATTCGTCAACGCATTGATTGTAGGTCGTGTATCCACCACATAGAGAATATTGGATTCAGGATTTGAATTACGTATAGCTTCAAAGAGTACTTGATCCTCTGTGGATTTTGAAGAGAAACCTGCTAACGGTTGACTGCTTCGACATAATGCTGACTATATATAACAACAAGAAGAAGAAAAAATAGAATATGGGTATTATTTATAAGCAATAAAGTATTGAAATAGTATGTGCTATTTCTTGTACACCAAAACTATGATTTTTTTTTCGTTATAGCTTGATTTCACACCGTACATGTATGGGATTTTCAGCATGTGATCTCAGTAGCCAAAATTTTGCGGGCTGACCATTGATATCAGGTGTGTGTCGGCAGGGGATAGAACCTCAGACCATATCTATGGTTGGCGAGAGTCCTAACCGCTGTGCCACCGACGCACAATAAAATAAGAAGAATAAAACAATTGATGAACTTTAATATTATACTGACTAAATGAATTTTAAAGGATGAAGTTAAAGTGTCATAGGCCCAAAGTCAAGGTCTTTCAAAAGTTGACCTTCAAGAACCGACCAGATACAGGGGATGCTATGGAATGTCAATCCAAACCAAGTCGTGCCAGCCTTTTTGGACTTGGAGAGGATAGATATAGTATTCTACTGATTTATTACTATTATTATTATTTATTATTCCCTTGCGTTCCGAGTGGGACATAGACATTCAGTAAAACATCTCTACTTCGTTCTGATTTCTGCCGTATTCTTCAGCTGGCTAGCTGGCTTTTCCCAGCCAGAGTTTCTTCTTGCTAGTTGTTTCTGCCTAGTCGGCCGGCCATTTAATCTTCAGTATGAAGCAAAGGGGACAACTGTTGATGAAAGTATACAGTAGCCTGTTGGAAATCCTTTTTGTGACACACAGTGGAAGTTTCTGACCCGTATAAAAGAACCGACTTTATATTGGTGTTGAAAATGTGAATCTTGTTCCTTATGCTGAGTGCGGAAGATTTCCAAACTGGTTTCAGGTTGATGAAGATATATCTTTCCCTTCCAATTCTGACTTTGACTTTTTCGTCCGTTCCGTCTGTAGTTGAAATGATGCCTCTCAAGTAAGTGGAGGAGGCAACGTCTGTCGAATCTCTCCCGTTGATGGTGACTGGTGCTGGTTGTTGTTGTTGTTCGTTGGTTATCTGCATCACCTCCATCTTCTCTGTGTTCACCTTCAGTCCTGTTTTCGCTACCTCTTCAGCCACTTTGTTGGTTTTCGTCTGCCTGCAAGTCTTCGAGTTTGTGTGACATTAGACATACATTATCTGCGAAATGCAGAACTTCTAGAGTCTTCTTGTCGGTCGTCTAGCGCATTCCTGACTCCTCGCCCCCAACAGTCTGATGCATAATCCAGTCCATCACCATTCAGAATATCATCGGTGATGATAAGCAGCCTTGTCTTACTCCTGTATGCACTTCGAACGCCTCACTGAGTTTTCCACTGTGAATCACTCGACACGTGGCATTGTCATATAGATGTTGAAAGAGTGTGACAACGACAAAGTTCTGTATCCAGTGCATCCGTTATACTCTCCAGGATGATGCGACTTAGTATTTTACTTGGCGTGAACAAGTGCATTATTTCACGCCAGTTCTTGAACAGGCTTAAATCGCCCTTCGTTGGCAGTTTGGCAAAGTAACCATTCTTCCAACCAATAGGCACCTTTCCTTCTTTCCAAACGTTTTGCAGTAATGAAGTGAGAACATCTTTTCTACAAATATATACTGCGTGAACATTTTGGAGACCACTCCTCATTATTCAGCATACGTTATCGTTGCCTCAAGCTGACAATGAATGAAAATGATGATTTTCTTACTCACGTTGGCACAGTCAACCGAGAATGTGAGAGATTTCGACTCAGGTCCTTAACAGATGATCAATTCAAAGCCTTGATTCTCATATGCAGTCTTCAATCTCCTCGTTTCACAGATATCCGAACTCGACTGCTCAATCAGCTAGAACAAAATCCTAAGTTAACATTACATGACATAGCTGATGAATATCAACGGCTGATTAATCTGCAGAAAGACACACACCTGGTCGAATCAACACCTTCGAGAAGCTCTGATATTCATGCATTACGAAAGAGCAAAAATCTCTCATCATCCACTCCTGACCCACCTTCTCCTAATGTTCCGCGTAAATCTACACATACTCGTCCAACTTCTCAAATAACTGCAAAGAAGACCCCACCATCACCATGCTGGCATTGTGGCGCGTGGCACTTTGTAAAGTCCTGTCCATACAAAAATCATCGTTGCAGCAAGTGCAAAATCATCGGTCATAAAAATGGATTTTGCCAGCCACGCAAACTCAGATATCAAAATACAGCGAAAGCCCGACAAACTGTTGGTCCTAAATCCCAAAAAAGTCAATGAGTCTAGTCTCAACCTGTCAAGTCACAACACCAGGTATGCGGAAATATCTTGATCTTCAGATGAATGGTCATGATACACGTCTGCAGCTAGATACCGCCTCTGATATTACTGTTATATCAGAGAAACTTTGGAATGATATTGGCAGACCACCAATCGCAAATACTTCCCAGACTCTTGTCAGCGCCTGTGGTGGGCCGCTCAAACTAATTGGTGAACTCAAATGTTCTGTTTCATTCCGTAACATCAAATTCACAGGAATTTGCTACGTCACCAAGAGTGATTTAAATCTTTTGGGACTTGATTGGTTCGATCGTTTGCATCTGGCTGATGTCCCACTAAATTCGCTATTCAATGCAGTCAAGAAGCATAAAATGTCAGACAATTCCGGACGAAGCCGAAGCCGCAAACCCAACAGACAGGCATCAACAACAAGTTCAACGGTTCCAGATAAACCCCCAAGAAAACACGCTACTAATCATCAATCTTCTCAGAAGGGGAGTTGATATATATCCATATAATATGTGTGTTTGTTTGACAGTCTGATATATTTTGCTATGTATATATGGATCGATATTCCATTATAATTAGCCAATCACGTTAAGACTGTCTATTGATTTGTTCATTTTGAATATTCGCTCACACACTTGTGTTCACACACCTGTTCGGACATTCATATTTTGCTCTCACACTCTTGTGTGACTTTGATTCTCCTTGTGTTTGGAAAATAGAAGTATCATCGCAAACCTAGTGGTCTTCTGATTTCCGTCCTTCTTGAGTCAGGACTATTAAATTCTCGACCAGTACATAACAGACAAATTACAAAACAAGATTAATGGCGAATGAAATCTAACAGATATATTCTATCTCGATTTTATGATAGACCAAAACTAAAGAAACCAAACATTCCCGTACGACCAATCGTTTCGCTTTCAGGAACACCAACATACAATCTATCTAAAGAACTTTTCAGGAAACTAAATTACCTAACAGAAACATGCGACCATTACACTAATTCATCAATGCAATTTTTAGAGAGGAAATCAAAAACATTCAAGTGGATGACAGTGAAATAATGGTGTCCTTTGATGATGTCACAGTATTACATACTTCAATTAGTCCAAAACTATGCAACAGAAACTATACAACAATTACTTTGTAGTGATGAAAACATAAAAACACAATGTTCAACTTGAATAGAACTCATAGAATTACGCCTTACAACATAATTCCAATTCAATAATCAAATATACAAATAGGAACACCAATGGGATCGCCCATATCATGATTAATAGCTGAAACCGTCATGCAAAGAGCAGAATTAACAGCTCTACCTGTAACTGAACCAAAAAACTGGGTATGTTATGTTGATGATGATGATGATGAAGGTGTGTAGTTTGTTTGAGTTGCTCTTTATGACGCGCTGGCCAAGTCTCTTATCCGTATAATAGCACTGACTTCACATTGGAGTTGAAAATCTGGATCTTATTTTGCATGCTGAATGCTGTCAATCTCCACACAGACTTGAGAGTAATGAAAGCTTTCCTTGCTTTCCTGATCCTCACTGTTTTGATATCCTGATCAGTTCGTCCGCCTGTAGTTGAAACGATGCTTCCCAGGTAGGTCGGTAGGTAAAGGAGGTTGCTTCTTTCAAATTTCTCGCATTTATGCTGATTGTTGTCTGTTGTTGGTGTTGCTGTCGGTGTTGACTAGGAATCTTCATTACCTCTGTCTTCTCTATGTTCATTTGAAGTCCTTCCTATCTTTGATGCTTCATCTATCGCCAACTTGTTGCTTTTACACTTGTATATCTTCCAGTTAGTGGGAAATCAGACATGGGAAAAGTTCAGATCCTCCAATTTTTTTGTGTGCGTCCACTTTATGCCTGTTTCCTCCCTGCCCACTGTCTGTCGGATTATTCAGTCTTCCGCAACCAGGAAAGTCATTGGACATAGTAGGCAGTCAGCTTGTCTTACTCCCGTGTGCACCTCAGTATTGTGTCAATTATCTTTAGCTTCTGTTAGTATTAAGCACTCAACGACAAACTCACACACTTACCATACAATAAACATTATATATTTAGTCAAATCGTACACATGTGAACAGAAAGCATAGAGGTTGAAAAACTCCGACATGATGAGTTTCTTCAAAGCTTCCAAATAGGCTTTATTGATAGTATTTTCGAGTTTGACTACGAATTGATATCAGTTTGAGAAACATTGGAAACCAGCTGGGAGTACTGGACAGCTGTTTCCTCCGTCCTAGTTTGAGAAACATCGGCAGTACGCACTCACTGCCATGGTTTGAACACAGGACCTTCCGGTTACAAGTCAAGCCAGCTCGTATACCATTCAGCCACCACTGGAACCCAATTCAACGGCCAGTACATGAATCCCAACTTCTACCAATCTGTGATTTAGCGCATGACCACCAACTTTTTTTTTATTACAGCTTGATTCTACACTGTATTTTTGATACAAGTATGGAATTTTCAGCGTGGATATCGGTAGCCCAAAATTCGCAGGCCGACCATAGATATCAGATGTGCGTCGGCGTGGGCTCGAACCTCGGGCCATGTGCATGGTCGGCGAGAGTCCTAACCACTGTGCCACCGACGCACATCGGCAGGAAATCCGTCCTCACACTTGACTGGATGGACCTCCCTGGGCACGACTTTTCACTAGAACTCCAGGAAATTCCGTCCTGTCTCAAGTTATTAGCGAGCATCAGTTATAGAACCACTGGAAACCAAGGAGTCAATCAATTCGTGACCAAACTCGAAAAACAAACTTAATCCTTACAAATCAGCTCCTAAAAATTTATTGATAGCTATCAAACGGCTAAACATTCAGGTTAAGCAAGGATTAATAACAATAATTAGAGTAATTCATGCTTCATTTCTCTGCATTCTCAGTGGGACATAGGACTTCAAGCTGGAGCTTTGAAGTTTCAACAGCAACGGTGCTTCAACGAGGTGGAGTTGCTAGTCTTTACCGGGCTTACGGGTAAAGCGAGGTAAGGGTACATGTCGGCTGGAGATCAAACCCCGGACCACCTACGTGGTTGCCAGGGTTCTACCACTAGGCCACCGATGCACAAACAAGGATTACCATAGATTTATTCCTAATGTAACGTAATGCAATTTCAAAAATCCATCTTCATAAGTTGTCATAACCACAATAAATGCATGACAAATAATAATGATAATAGTAATAACTGCGGAAGATGTATAGAATAGCACAAACTAACCTTTCCATTTGGATGTAGATAAGTTAACACAGGGAATCTGCCACGACTACGAAAACGTGAACTTCCATAGAGAATATTCTTTGATATCATACTTGGGACACATAGCAAAGAAGGATAGGTGTCGCATATCTGGAGAATATATACACATATATAAATCCTTCAGCTTCAGAGAAACTATTCATGTAACAATGATAAATATCATTTAATGTTCTAAGGTGTTGAGTCGTAAACTGGGATGTCAGCTATGCACTGCTTGTTAGGGTTAATGATACTATCCGTATCAAACCGATAATCAGCTAGATAAAAACTGCATGTGTGAGAAAAAATAAACCACAACGCTAGCCATAATATACACCAATGCAGGGGTAGTTTTGTAACGACAGAAGACAATGGCCAGACAACAGATCGTTCATTGAGGAAATTAATATATATATATATATATATATATATATATATATATATATATATATATATATATATATACATTATTATTATTCGTTATTGATAGCAGAGAGGTAACGTCTTCTGGTTGGTTGTTTTCCTGCTGAAGGTTATTCTGTTGATATATTTCTGCTAATCGTATCCGCCCACGCAAAGTCCGCTGTGATTGGTTGTTGAGTTAGTCTTTATTTTTGTTTTTTTTCTTATGACCACGATTTGGGACGTCAACGTTGACGTCAATTGCTGTCTACCAATCTTGGCCAGGCTGGCAGACAGCTCTCACCACAGTTTTACCCTGATCGTTTTATCGCAACTTCATTAAACTTTTAGTGGACATGAGAAAACCATAATGAATCTCCTTTATCACCTTTTATAAAGTGCACCTTATCACTGAGTATCATTCACTATGCAAACATTTCATAATCTGGTTAAACATGAAGATAAATATAAAAATCACGGTGGACTAACGATAATTGGATTAGCCGTCGGACTCTCTAGATGAACAGTAACAAAATTACTTTTTATTATGAAACTCCGTGTACATAAAACAGCTAGATCGGTTGACATATGAATGTATGGGTGTGAGGAGAGAACTCGAGTAGTCTTATCAATAAAGTAATACACTCATTGGCAGATATAAAGATTAGCGACTAAGGTGCGTGAACGCACCAATGACCTTGAACGCATGCCACTCATTGGATTACATAGACTGCTGTGTATTATACATCAAAAAGCCGTCTATATACCAGAAAAATTAACATAGTAATAATGAAACACATAAAAGATGATATTTTACCCTGATGTGACTGGAAAATATTTCCCAATACCATGAAGGGTATCAGTTTTGAAGTTTCATAGCTAATAAAACGGTTTCACCTATATGAACAACGGAACACTTCACCCATTAACTTACAATAATAGAACACCTTAACCCTAATACTAATAATCCTAACACCAACGTGCTGCCAATCCATTATCCAAACAGTAATTAAAAACCACATCAGGATGAAATTTGCATATCATATAGTGCATAACGTTCATACTGGCATTGCAATAACGGCAGATTCTGTAATCCAGTGAAGGGTATGCGCTCAGGGTCATTGGTACGTTCACACTCCATGGCCTATTCATTTAGTGCTGTGGCTAGAGACACAAACTAATGTGCTTTACAGGATTGATAACGAGCTGTTAAAGAGCCGTTAAAAGCCAAGAAGTACTGGACAAATGTTTCGTCCTAGTGTGGGACTCTTCGTCAGCACATGACCACTGGGTTTTGAACCCAGGACCTCGTAGACTATCTGATCCGATGACCAGTCTATGAATTTCAACTTCTGCCGATTCATGATAGATATTTGGCATAACCGTCTGCCAGTGTCACCGTCGAGCAACTGTCCTCTTGTGTGACTCAGCGGACCCCGCTGGTTACGTCTTCTCACTAGAACTCCAGGTAGCTTCCTGTATAGGGTCAGTGGCCATTGAACATCAGATTAATTATCGAGTGTTGGTTTGCAGGGACTTGGTTGGTTACAGGATTGATCATGAGCTGGAATCAGTTAGAGAAACATTGGGACTCTTCATCAGTAGGTGATCAACCCTGTAACCAATAAAACCCTTGCATACCAACACTTGATAATATATTTCTCTCTCTCTCTCTTTCTTTTTTCTTTTTATTGATTTCTTATAACTAACCTCAAAATTGTTATTCACATTCGTTAGTGTCCAGAAAGAATTCGGCAGTCCAAATCGATTATATTGTGATTCCAATGAAAACATTGACCAGCCTTCTTCACGAGGCCAATAACAATCAGGTGGAACGAAACGATAACACGGCAGTTCAGATACATTTGCTGAAGTTATATATTCAAGAAGAAAAAGTAAGATAAGTCAAGACAGAAGTCATATACTTTACGATAATAAGAGAAAATTTTAAATTTACATAAGTTAACCTCAATAATTACTTAGGATGCACTATGATTTACGTAAAACGACAAGGTAACCTGGCACAGTGGTTAAACCTTGATTTCGAAAATACAACACCAATATCAATCCAACATACTTCAGATTACAGTTTAGATAGTAGTTCAACACACAAGTTACTTACAGACTAAAAATGCATGTTCATAATGTAATGACAGAAGACAATGGCCAGTCAACAGATTGCTTATTGAGAAAATCCACATCTATTTATGGATTTCATGTACATTATTATTCGTTATTAGTAGCAAAGAGGCAACGTCTTCTGATTGGTTGTTTTTCTGTTGAAGGTTATTCTGTCATCTGTTTGTTTCCGTTTCTTAGACAGTCCGTTGATACATCTGTGAACTGTATCCGCCCACGTAAAGTCTGCTGTGATTGGTTTTTGAGTTCCTCAAGATTAGGCTTTGTTCTTGTTCTTTCTCATGACCCCGATTCGGGACGTAAACATTGACGTAAATTGTCGTTAACAATTATGGCTAGCATACACCTCTCATCACAATATCACCTTAACGGATGAGCAAAATATTTAAACTTGAAACATAAGCCATACGTTTACTTATATTTTCTGAGGATTGCATATTTTGACATTCACGTCACGTTAATAGATTTCTTCTGCAACTAAATCAGTTCATTCTTATTTTATGTTTCCTTAAACTACCCAAACCAAGTTTTCGGCTAACCAACATTTCCGCTGACTTCTAGCCATCATCCTCATCAAATACAGTATGAGGATTGAAACTTGTTTTTTTACTTAATTCATAAAAAGTAACGATGAGAACACATTACCTACAGTGTAGATATTGTCATGAACTAACGTTAATTAGAGAATCATTGGGAACCAGGCATCATTGGGCAGCTGTCCCGTTATAGCTTATGACTCTTGCACAGAGCTCATCCACTACTCGAGGTAGAGATCACAGGTCATTGAATTCCAACCCAAGTGGTGGGATGGTCGACCAGCTGGCTTTGTAACCTCTAGGTCTGGATCCTGATGAAGTCATGGGTGCGTACTGATGAAGAGTCCCGAACTGGGACGAAACAGTTGCCCTGTCTCCCTGTCTTTAGTTACCCAAATTATTAATATATTGGCTCACTTTTTTATTCTTTATTCTATTCCTTCTTCTGTGTATCTACTGGTCCCGACTATATTATCACTATGAGTATAACAAAATTGTCCTGTCATTAACCTTCATGTAATATTAGTTTTGTAATAGTTTTTTTGTTCGGCAATATTAACTGACAATCTTGGTTATGAACTCCGTTATCACCGTCATAAAATTTTGTATTATGCAGGATTACTCACACTACCACTACAAACACCGCATTAGAGCTGACAATAAAAAAAACCTGAAATGTTTATTTTATGACTGTTTAGTGATGTTCAATCAAATTAACTGATCATCTTGGCGATAAACATTCTTAAATATCATTTCATAACTTTTTTTATGATTATAGCTTTTACTGTTCACGCATAAACATACCATAGCTTCTAATACCCAGTACTGAGATATTATTAATTATGTTGTTTATTTTCCATTCTACTTCTTGGTATTTTTTCGCATTTTTTTGCTATTTTTGTGTTTTTTTTTGTTTCTGCTGTTGTTGTTTTTATATTCATTTTTTGAAATACTCCTTTTTAAATGTTTGATAAAATTAGATGCAATATTGTAGATAAATGCTGAAAATTCCACACTGTACCACTAGTAGTACTGTTTCTGGAATAAAGCAAATTATTTTTTATTTCCGTATGTCTCCAACTAATGCCGGTTTGTGATCCCTAAAACCCACACAATCTACATGAACCACTTCCGATGTATTTACAAAAAGGTATGATCAAAAAATAGGTGTTTTTGCTTACCAACACGTATTAATTTGGTCAGAGTTAGATAAACATCATGACAATCACGTTCTTTCAGTAGAATTAGACGAAGTACTCGAAAATCTTTACCACGTATAACTAAAGGTGCACCACCAGTAGTTAGTGGAAGACGTTCAACTGAAGAAATCAACTGATTCTGTAACTAATAGTTGACATCAAAAGGAAAAATAAACAGGATATCATTATTATTATTATTGATTTTTAAATAAATTGATTATTTTGTCATAAAAAAAGAGGAATACCACAGGAAAAGTAGACTACAGAAAAGCGCTAAGTGTACTCAAATATCTATGAGTTTAATCGATAAAGGTAGAATGATAATTTTACTGGTCAGTACGGCTAAAAGTGATCTCCTATCCTATTATCGATCGTGAAGGGTGAGTATGTCATATACCAATTAAAAGGTATGTAAATATTAGCATGTTACACTTTCAGCCATACTTATAACCTAAGAGCCATGGTTATATTTGATTAACTATACCTCAACATGTTGAGTTCTTACATTAAGACTCAATGGTCGAGAGTCTAGTACTGGCCTCAATTAACCATGTTTCTACAGTTTGTATTAATAGAATAAGGCTGTCGAAAACAAACACTTCTACAGGGAAGATACTTATATAACAAGGAGCACTGTGGATATACTATAATAATAAGTTTGCCGAAGCAATTTCTATCAAACGCTTGAAACCAGATTTATGTGTTCAAAAAGAAGAAGCGGTCATCAGTCTTGGCTTTCTCTGTCTGGTAACTGAATATCTTAAATCTCCCTTTCATTCGATAACGTAATCTTTGGCTTTAACCTCACCCCTTTTATAATCTGTAATTTTGCTTGTCTCTTGTTTCTAAGATTTGAGTTGAACTAGGTATATCGTTACCTAATTAATCAGTCACTCTGCATCTAACGCATATCTCGTCTTTATTACGTAACTCCATTACCATTGTATGCATACATTTATTTTTTTTGTTTAAACTTGAACTGCCTGTGTAAAAAGTTATGTAAGCGCAATTTTCTGAGCACTGTTCACTAACTGTGGAACTTTCTGTCAATTGACAATATGTAAAAATTTGCAAGTATGTTAAAACTTTTCTGTACGTAAACCTTATAATTTATTTGAGCTGTAAGCAGTAGCTGATGAGAAGCCAACGAAATAAGCAATGATGGTATCATTTTATTCTTCAAAAACCACCACTGTTGTTCTTGCTTTATTCAAATTATAATTTACATTTGTACAGTATAGTAATTAATTTTAAACAACAAATGAGGCAAGAGGAATGAACTCCGATACTTTCAAAGCATTTATGTCAAGTTTTAACTTTGGGGCCTGCCACAGATGAGATGGTGCACGCACACTTTGAATACAAAAGAAAGCTGAGCACACATAACCTCTGTGTACGAAAAGTTAGTTGGAGCTGGAAGAATAATGAAGATGAAAGCTCATAGAAATTATCTTATTCATAATGAAGAGAGTAACGAATACACAACAGTCAGTGAATTCAATGATTTTGTTGCCAACTGCAATATTTGCATACAACCATATGTGCTAGAGAAAAAAACAGACACCGTTGTAGGGTATACTCATCTTGATATACACAATCTTTCATACATCTATCAACAGGACATCAGAGGATAAGAAACAAAAATAGATATTGAAACAGTGCAGAATAATAATAATTACCCAAATTTCTTGTCTTCTGGATAAACCAAGGAAAAATATATGAGTTAAAGTTAAGTGTAAAGTTCCACGAATATGTGCATTGCCATCGAATTGGTCTATGTAGAAAACGTCATTTACCTAAACAAAATAATATATTGGAAAGTTATAAAACTGGTATCAAAAAAAAAGTTCCTTCTGTTACTATTAGATATGGAATTTACCGCATAACACTACATTCTAACATTATCTTTAGACTTCACAAGAGCGAAGACAAAGAAAATGGTGCTTTTGATTGGACACTAGTAACTAGTGTGACGTGTCTAGTCCTTTCTTTGGTGCAGACTGAATTCTGTCAGTCAGGTTTGAAATGTGGCCAGCATTCTAGGTAGCTCGCCATCACGGTGCACATTGATTTGATGATATTAGATGGTTGGAGGCAATCGGCAGGAAGCTTTGGACCTAGGTTTCGTGCTAGTTGGTACTCGTCAGTAAGGGACATGAGTTCCTTCAAGGTTGCAGATATGCCTTGCTGACGAGTGCCAACTAGAGCGAAGCATAGGTCCAAAGCTTCCTGCCGATTGCCTCCAACTATCTAATATCATCAAATCAAAATGGTGCTTTATTAATATCAACATAAGGACCTTCAACAACTACTTCCATTGACATGTATTTGATAATCAACCACAGATGCTATGTAAGGTTTAATGATACTCTCTAACTACTTGAAACACGGTACTCGAAGTTAATTTTGAAACCGTGAACCAGTGGCTGAATGTCAAGAGCTTAAACCAATGGACCTAAGCTCCAATTGAGTATATCTCCACGTATTAAAACTATGGAAAATGACTGTTGTTTCAGTGAACCATAATTTCTCATTCCACCGGCCAGTATCTGCTACCTAGACGTGGTCGGGCCTGAATACCGTAGTGACTCATGTTCCTACAAGTCTTACCATGCCAGGAAGGTTGTTTGGATAGTGGTTAGATTAAATTTAGTTACTATGGTGTACATGAGCTCCAGAATTCAAACGTATCGAATAGCGTATGAACCTGCAACAATGGGAACGTAGCTCCTGACGCTGCTACGATGCCTTATGGGAGAAACTTCAAGCCAAAAGCTCGGAGAGGGCCACCAGCTTCGGTCTGGGAGGCCAAGCAGTACCCCAGTGCTTGCGATAACAATAAAACAACAAAACATGAGGAAATTTAATCGCACGCTCTTCTTCACTTTCACGAACAGTAATGATATTCCTAGCAACACTTTTGATATGAGTATAAAACTTGGGCACTGTGGTACAGCATAACTCCATTATGGATAAGATTTTTTGATAAATCACAGTATTGTATAGTAATATTAACCGATGACGTTTCGAGCACAAACTATTGCTCATAATCATATCATTTGAAAGAAAAAAGTTAAGTGAGTAACTTGATATGATTATGAGTAATAGTTTGTGCTCGAAACATTATCAGTTAATATTACTGTAGCAACACTTTTGTATGCGCTGATAGAGGTGGTCTCAGAAATTCCACTATCATAAGAAAAAGCTCATTGGTCTAGAGTACACAAACAATACAGCCTTTTTAAGTGGAAGAATGATCTCAACACCTTGGATAGAAACTTTATCACACCTGGCATGCTCTATACTCCTGTCAGGCGTAAAACAATGCCACAAGACCTGCCTGTTCCGCCTTATGGTTTATAGATAAGAAGTAAAACGGCCTAATGTTTTCGATTCTTCACTTATTATGAAAATGTCATTAGTCTAATGCGTAGATGAGGATGCCAAACGTAAGATCGGAAAAGCAAGATAGACCCTCATTAATCTGAAATCAGTGTGAAAATCTGTAGCACTCGACATAAAGAACAAGATTCAGTTTTTCAACACCAATGTCAAGTCATTTTTTCCATATGGTTAACAGACTTCGCGCGTCACCGAAAGCATTTTCAACAGGCTACTGAGGAAATGCATCTTAACTTGATACTGAAGTTTTTCTAAAGATTTCTTTACGTTCCCAGTGGAACATAGGGCGCCTTCAAGCTGGAGCTTTGAAGTTTCCGTAGCAGTGGTGTTTATTCTTACGGGATGGGTTGCTAGCTTCATGCCCAACCTTCCCTTTTTACCGACCTCCACGCTGGCTTAACGAGGTTTAGGAGTGCGTCGACCTGGAATCTAACCCTGAGCCAAATGCATGGATGGCAAACATTCTACCGCTGTGCCACCTTTAATGCTAATAAACTACAAGTCATGTTTCCTACAAGACCGATGGTGATTCCTCTTTGAAAGATGAAGTGCTCAGACTAGCCACTTCCAACTGTATCTACCAATTCAATTGCGCTTGTAGAGCAAGTTATATTGACCGTTGTTCTAGGGACTTGACCTTTCGCTCTCTCCCAGGATATCTAAGTAAAGGTGTAGTAAAAACCACCGACAGTTCGATATTAGACCATCTGTTCCAAACCGGCCACAAAACCAACATTGAATAATCCTTCTCTATCATCTACCGGCTGCCAAATAAATTGCCAAAAACATCCAGGTACCACATACTACAAACATCTGAGGCTATCGCGATACGCCCTAAACAACCAGTGCTTTGTGTGGAAAAGAACCAAGTCCAGCCAGTCACTACTACTGCCTTGGCCGGTCTTTAGTAGAGACTAGAAATTCATAAATTTGTATTATTATCCTTCCTAGTTTTTCTAGGATTCAGTGTATCGGTATCCTGATGCTATCGAACCGTAACCCAGTGATAATATTATTATTGATTCGATGTCATTTGAGCAACATGAATGTTGTTAATAACATTAATTGATTCACTATTATGTATATACAACTGTAGAAACTGATGAAGTCGTCGAAAAGAATATTCTTCGTTCAGTAACGATTCTTTTGGAAATTTTAATGGGTTCTTCTAATCAGTTGAAAATAAAGCAGTCAATAAGATTGATAGAAACACTAAGTGTAAACATAAAGATAACAGCAAACATAGCGGAAGCGTAAACATACGTAGTACCACCATACAAAGAACGATTTAAAAAAAACCTTGAGCATGATTATTAACAAGGAAGGAATAAAAGTGGCATTTATATCCATGAAATCTATCAGAAACAAATTGTCGGATTCTATGGAGCCACTATACAAAGTGATTCAGTTGATTTAGTACCATGTAGTGAATATCAAATCGAACATGTCGAATTGAATCAGCACACCACAAAACTAAGTAAACACTAGACTAGTGAAACCAAAGATAAGGAATCCACGAAAAAGCTCAGGTAAGACGCTAGTGACAACCACACATAAGACAGAACAAGGCAACAATAATAAGAACTAACATAGGTGGGTGAGTAAAGATTATAAACGATGGTGTTTTTTATCGAATCAACTAAGAACAAATGCAATAGGAAAAACTCGAACCACGCGACACATTATAAGGAAGAGTCAGGAATTCAAAAAGCCAGAAACCTACTATTGAGGAGTTACACCTCAATATCCAACAACAATTTCACAAGCCAACGGTGCTCGAAACCTTATTGTCATTTAAATATGGCCTGTAGCATTCTAACAGCGTCAGTCAGCACTCCCTGTTCTGAATGACTTCATGATAGAAAAATTCTTCGTTGGTATTAGCAGTTAGCTCATAATTATGTGAAATAGGCGGTGTACACTATAGTTGTCATAGAGTGCTGATTTCCATCAGTGCTGAATGAGCGAATGCGAATATAACTTCAGTTAATAGTTCGAGCTAGAAATGAGGACTACAAAATAAATTACACCAACATAATCTGAGCATGTCGAACTCAATGTATCGTTTGGAAAAGAGGAACATGTATTGGTACTACTACTGTCATCTTTTATACTGCACTGTTTCTATTCCGTTTCCAAATTTTTACAATATAGTTTCGTTACTTCGAATACAATGGTGCAAAAGAATATAAAAAGGAATAACGCTTACTTGAGTAACAGTAATCTTATCCATGCACAAATGCAACGCATATGTTTAAATATGTTGTACTACAGTAAGCAAAACCCGATTTCAATGTTATGAGCAAAAAGCTTGTAAATTTTGAAGCTGTCCCATCGTGAAACTAAAGATCCTCTGGTAGTCATCAATATGAGATGATTGTTTATTTCCCCCATCCCTACATTTTGAAGCGGTGAATAATTCCCCAAAGCTATTCATTTACAGCTTTCATGGTCACTCAACACTGAAGGCTAACCTTCAACACCTAAGGCGACTGTTTAAACTGAAGGTGCACGATCAAGCATCCACACTGTTTGGTACGCTGTGGTGTTACGTTCAGTTGTTTTCTCACTACCTATCGTTAGTTAAGTACTTTTGCTACCGCGCGAACTTTGAAAGAGGAGTGAATTTTACACGCTCCTGTTTCATTTCGGCTTTGTTGTGTTATGCGCTCCAAAAGTCTAGCGATTAACTTTGAATCAGTTTATTCTGATGGCAGTTAGTTTATTTTTAGGTTAGAGTCCATTTAATGATAGGAAGTTGGGTTCTTATATATATATATTTGTGCACTCATTGGGTTTTATATCACTGACTTATAAATGTCATATATATGAAGTCATATTTGAATCTCTTTGTCCCAACTCACTCTGAAAAGCATGCCTATCAAAAAGAACGGCTCTAGAAGAGTTATGTGCCAATTTCCAGTTAAGAAGGAATGGGCTGGACTTACCCGGCATGTTGGTTGAAATTTCGCTCGGCAAATTTTTTTTGTCAATAGTTTTCAATAAAATCGTGTTATATGTTTTCTGGATTGATAGAAATTCTCGTTTCCTGGCTAGTTATGTCGGTGTCCGCGTCTTGTAATCTGACTGCGACACACTCTAAGGGCAGCCTGTAGACGGCCGTAGATCATTTGATCAACTGATTGACACTGGCTTTATTTATTGAAAAAACCTCAAGGTTAGGTAATTATTCGTTGTTTTACACACTCTTTTACTTATATTCCTGCTAAAAGTTGATGAAGTACGGCGTATTTAGCAGAAACAGCAAATGATGGTGGCCTTATCCGCCCGTAGCTTACAGCCAGTTTACGGTTTGTTGAGAATACGTACTTTTCCATTCAGAAAATGTCGAATTACTTGAAGACACATGTTATAACGACTTCTGTGATATGTTTTTGCAGTTTAAGGGATTACACATGGACATGATGAGGTGGGATAGGTCGTTTTGGTAATTATTTCATTTACTTTGTTGTGTACTTTTCCTAATGCTGACAAGGCTGCTGCTCATGTATTTCTTTAAGAAAAATCTGCAGAAATACTCAGAAATTATATGCGCATAGTATTTCCTTATTTATGGCATAAACTTGATGTTTGCAGGCAGGTGCAATATCGATTTTGTATCATTGAAAAATGTTTACTGACGTAATTATATACAATTCAACTAATTATTTCGTCATTTTAAATATTTAATGGTTAATTATTGTGTTTACACTGATAGCGATGTCTACATCTGTATAATTCTTATGTTCTTTTTCAGATAATATCTACTTTCGGGAATTTCATGGATTTGGGTGATAAAGAAAATGATACCTGCACTGTTGTCGATTTTGTATTACATGTTAATCCATTAATAAATGTAATCCTCGTTATTCGTTCGTTAATTCTACTTGATAAGACCGAATATTAGCACTTGCGCAATATGTGAGGTATAGAGTATATGAGGCTATCTTTGAAATACTAGGTAGGAGCAGATATTAGGAGAAGCCTATTGGTAAAACATTATCTTGTAGTCAAATAAAGTAAATATGACTAAATCGTAGAGGAGGTATTGCGATTACAAAGCGTTTCGAGTTATCTATCGTCTTAGCAGAATACATATACTGATTCGCGATTCATAGTCACAAAGTGAGAATAAATCTACCCGAGATAGTTTGCTTGCGATTTCTGCATGTCGCTATGTACCATAAGAAGAGACTATACCTATGGTGTTGGATATTTAACTCAGTGCAACTACGGTTATCGTAATAATTAAAAACAGAATGCCTAGGGTTCTTAGCCACGGAACACGAAACGTTGCTCATATAATCACGTAAACAAAAGTTTTCCAGACTCTGCATTTACTCCTAACTTAGCACGTGTTACTAATGTTAGTGGAACACAATTGCATTACAATAGAAGGAACACAGATTCATTGAAAAATTCTTTATTAAACAAAAATCAGACTTCAAATGTACAGATAATTCAGATGAGTGGTCCTCTGTTACCGTCAGTAAGTTCCATCTGCGTACACGGCACATATATGTTTTTCCATAAGTCTGAAAAGGTTTAAGAAAAGAATAATTAACTTGGGTATTACATGTATCATCTGAATAAAAAAATTTTCCTGATAAGCATTTAAAAGTAATCACTTTACAAACAATATATATAAGTAGCCCAATAGTTTTCACTAAACTTAAGGGACTTCACAACTTATCGTTTGTCGATATCTAGTGGGTCCATTGAAGCACCATGAAATGATAAAATTATTTGACGACAAGACATGCAGTAGCTTCCAAAGCTTGTACAAATATTTTAGCAAACATGACAACGACTTTATGACAAATAATACGTCTTGACAGCAATGATAACAACATTCATGATCATAGTGGCTATTAAAAAAATACGTATTATTGTCGCAACGAATTCATCATTAACTTAGATAGACAACTAATAATAATACAATCATTTCAAATAAATTGTCAGCCACGTCTCGTAAACCGTTAATGCCCAGCTCTTGCTACGCTGGGACTCACGCTGTTCCTTGAAGTTTCTCAGAAACGCTTAGTAATAACGGACGAAAAAACCAAAACACCAATTGGTGACTCGAGGATTCTTTATTGTAACACCGACATATAGCCAACTTTAAAACTAAGCTTTACAACTAAGGTCTATGGACAAATATTACAGTAATAAATCACAATATTACTTCTGACGGTTGTCTCCTGACTTCTTTCTGAACAGCGACCGATGAGACGATGACTGGTGTATTGATGCCACTGCGAAAATTGGGGAAGTTGGTTTTTGGGCAAACAACCATGAATTGGTCGTTCAATCTTCAACTACATTGACATAAATGTATCACTTAATGTTAAGAAGCATGTGCTTACTTACTTTCACTGTATTCTCTCAATACTGATGTGCTCGACTAGCTTATTCCAACTGAATTCAAGATTAATTCTGAAAGTGAGTGGAGATCCAGTTTATGTCAAATAAAAACATGTAGCTTACTTGTATTACCCTGCTTACTGAGACATATGATACCTGCTTTCCTATCTTCACGCCAAGAACATAGTTTATCTAGGTTCACCTACATATACATAAGTATACGTATATGCTGCATCAACCATACCGTTTTTATCATGATTAACCAGACCACTGTGTATATTATACTTATTTAAGGATCTCTGAAAATAATGGTCAAGCGACAATTGAATTTGCTTGAAGTTATTACATCTTCGGGACATTGTTTGCATTCTTGACACTCCTGAGAATTCCTTACATATTAATATGGTATGAATTCGTTGAATTCAGCGAACAAATCCACTGGTATATCATTTCTCTCCTGAGCTGTAATAGTTTGTAATGTCAGTTATCTATCCAATTTGATAAAACGCTGCTGGAAATTCAGAACTTGACCAAGCAGCAAAATAATGTTTGAAATTACCTCAACTCGAATGACAAACTGGCCAATCACAAGCGGGAAAATCGCTTGTTTATCCCATTCGCGGTCACTCAAAATAACGGCCGTCGACAGGCTGCTCACTTAAAGCATATTGGTTGCAATGATTAGTGTTTCATACGGAATGTGTCAAAACATCGCTATAATGAACAGGATGGGGTATTTGGAGGGTAATATCATCTACACAAATAGCTTACTTCTTGTAGAATCTGCAGCTTTCGACATAGTGTCATTCAACGAAGACCATGTCAAAATGTGGCTATTTTCGTGTGAGGAACAGCACTATTTGACAAAAGAATGCTATCATTACATAGAAATCACCTATAAATGCTGACAGAACCTACTTTGGGTACAGAAGTATCTTGTAGATGTGTCTTTCACTGTATGTATGCTTGGACAGCAATTGTGGTGAGTTGAAAGGTTTTCTCTAAGTGGATTTAATATATATTTACACTGATTGGCGCAGAATAATGTGGGTTATGTGAATTCTAAGTATAGAAGAAACCTATTTTAATATTGTGCCACTGTTTGCTTAGTTGACTGCCAGGCTAACAAACGTAGGTGGTTCTCGTGATTGTTGCAAGTGCAGTGCGTTTTCTTAACACTGTGCATAGTTGCTTAGAGTTGAGGCATGTTCAGCTTATATATGATGACTACAGATTCCTAAATATGAGAATGTAACTTCTGAAGGATTCAACAAACTATGCTCACTAGACATTATTGAGGTTGTGGATGAATTTCTAAGCTACATATTTGCAACACCTCATTTAACGTAGACGTATTTAGTGTGAAATCGATGACAGAATGACGTCTCAACAGTATGGGTGTTTCAGAGTTTGTCTTGAAATTTGCGTGTAATCCCCTAATGCTGGAGAACTTATGAAGTCTATTTATGCGTCAATATAGAGACCAGCTGTCGACTACAAATACTTTTAATTGTATGAGAACTTTACTTATTATCAACATAATCAGTGTATACTAATATATAAAATTATCTTTCATAAATTCGTGTTGTTCTTCATATTTTAGGTGTATGGAGGTTGTTGAATGTGAAATCAGTGGAAATGTCAATCTGTCAAACTAACGCTAATACCCTTCATCAAAATTTTCTCTTGTAAACTAAGAAAATGTTTAATATACTCTTCATTTCTACTTCTTCTGAATGTCTTCAGTGCGTTGCTATACTATGAGCTTTCGTAATATGTGAATTCTGATTAATGCATGTTAAGCTTAGTGGAATGAAGATTTACTATAGTCTTATGAGACTGCTACTTAAATCATTCATACGATTTCGCGTCTGTTTCTATACAAAAGCACATTGTAAAAACCAAGTAGGATATGGCAAGCTGAATAATAATTCTGTAATGTTCGCTACGCTAAGGTCTCCTTACTTAGCCAGTTGCTAGTCTGTATTCTGCTAAACGCCAGGTATGTAGTACAATTAAATTAGGATTGATAGCTACTTCATTAATCAGTTAATACGCAGTGGCATCATCGAATAGACTGTCTACTTGGCTACGTGTTGGCTGGACAAGCCCGCCAACGCCATCTTCAGTCAACTCCTTTGACCATAAACTGCTGGAATCCAGCATATCGCTATCCCTAGTCCAACACATCATTAAGCCC